TTACACTTATTGTGGGAGAAAATGTGATATTCTGACACCTGTGTACCAAAATATTTTGACACGTGTCAAAATCATGTGTAATGATCAAATCAGCATAATTGGGAAATCCATTAACTCAAAGTTTTATTTTTTGTATGTGTGTGAGAAAAATTACTAATCTTCTTTTCTAGATATTTTGAAATATACAATAAATTATTAGCTATAATTTATCTAATATAGAATATTAGAACTTATGCCATCTATTTTTATGTATTTTTGTGCCCCTTAACCAACTTATCTTCATCACCCAATCCTCATCACTTACCTTTCCCAGCCTCTGGTAAACATCATTCTTCTCTGTACCGCCATGAGGTCCACCTTCTAGCTCCCACATATGAGAATGTGCAATATTTGTCTTTCTGTGGTTGACTTCCCTTAGCATAATAACCTCTAATCTCTTTCAATCTGTGTTGCTAAAAATGACAGGATTTTATTTATTTTTGTGGCTGAATAGTTTTCCATTCTGTACACCTGTCAAATTTCTTCTTTCATAAAAATTTTTAATTTTTCTGGATACATAGTAGCTGTATATATTTATGGTGTGAGATTTTTTTTTGAGATGAAGTTTAGCTCTTATTGCCTAGGGTGGAGTGCAATGTGGTGTGATCTTTGCTCACTGCAACCTCCACTTCCTGGGTTCAAGAAATTCTCCTGCCTCAGCCTCCCATGTAGCTGGGATTACAGGCATGTGCCACCATGCCTGGCTAATTTTGTATTTTTAGTAGAGATGGGGTTTTACTATGTTGGTCAGGCTGGTCTTGAACTCCTGACCTCAAGCCTCCCAAAGTGCTGGGATTAGAAGCATGAGCCACGGCACCTGGTCTGAGATGTTTTAGGCATGCAATGCATAATAATCACATGGAGAATGGGATATCTATCCCCTCAAGCATTTATCCTTGTGTTACAAACAATCCAATTACTCTCTTTCAGTTATCTTAAAATATACAATTAAATTATTATTGACTGTAGTTATCCTGTTGTGCTATCAAATAGTAGGTCTTACTCTTTCTAATTTTTTTTGGTACCCATTAACCATCCCCACATGCTCCCCATGCCATTATCCTTCCCTGTCACATTTTCTTTGACCCTTCATCCATTGATAGACACTTGGTTGATTCTATATTTTGGCTATTGAGAATAGTGCTGCAATAAACACAAGAGTGCAGATATCTCTTCAATATACTGATTTTCTTTCTTTTGGATATACACTCCTCAGTGAGACTGCTTAATCATATGGTAGCTCTACTTTTAGTTTATTGAGGAAGCTTCATACTGTTTTCCATAATGGCTGTAATATTTTACATCCCTGTCAAGAATGTATAAGCCTTCCCTTTTCTCTGTATCCTTGCCAACATTTGTTATTTTTTGTATTAATAATGGCCACTGTAACTGGAATGAGATTATATCTCATTGAGGTTTTGACTGGAATTTCCTGGATGATTAATGATGTCGAACATTTTTTTCATATACCTGTTAGCCCTTTGTATGTATTCATTTGAGAAATGTCAGTTGAAGCCTTTTGTCATTTAAAAATTATTTATTTATTTCTATTGAGTTGTCTGAATTTCTTGAGTTCTGGTTATTAATCCCTTGTTAGATGGATAGTTTGCAAATATTTTCTCCCATTTGGCAGGTTATCCCTTCAGTTTGCTGGTTGTTTCTTTTGCTGTGCACAGGGTTTCTAGCTTAACATAATTCTGTTGGTCTATTTGTTAAATTTTGTTGCCTGTGCTTTTGAGGTCTTTCCCAAAATATTTTTGCCCGGACAAATGTCCTATAGCATTTCCCTGTTTTCTTTTAGTAGCTTTATAGCTGCAAGCCTTACATTTGTCTTTAATCCGTTCTACATTTATTCTTGTATGTGGTGAAAGACAAGGATTTCCTTTTGTTCTTTTGTGTATGGATATCCAGTTACCCAGCAGTATTTATTAAAGAGACTGTCCTTTCCCCACTGTACGTTGTTGGCACCTTCATGAAAAATGAGTCATATGTAAATGAGTGGATTTAATTCTGGGTTATTTATTCTGTTTCATTGGTCTATGTGTCTGCCATTATGCTGTTTTTGTTACTGTAACTTTGTAGTATAATTTGAAATCAGGCAATGTGATGGATGCCTTCAGCTTTGTTTTTGGCTCAGTATTACTATAGGTATATGAGGTCTTTTGTGTTTCCATATACATTTCAGGATATCTTTTCTATTCCTGTGAAAAATGTCATTAGTATTTGAAAGAACATTGCATTGAAACTATAGATCACTTGTGGTAGTATAGACATTTAACAATATTAATTTTTCCAATTCATGAAAGAGAGATATCTTTCCATTTTTGTATTCTTCAATTTTCTTCAGCAGTATTTTGTAAATTTTCTTGTGGACATCTTTTATTCCTTTGGCTAAATTAAGTCTTAAGTATTTTATTTTGTTTCTTTGTAGCTATTATAAGTGGGCTTGCTTTCTTTTTAAAATATATTTTTATTTTTAATTTTTGTCAATACATGGTATGTATATAAATTTATGGGGTATATGAGAGATTTTGGTACATGTATGCAATGCATAATCACATTATGAGAAATTGGGTATCCATCTGGTCAAGCATTTATCCTTGCTGTTACAAATAGTCTAATTATACTATTTTAGTTATTTTAAAATGTACAATAGATTATTGACTATAGTCCCCTGTGGTGCTATTAAATATTAGGCATTATTCTTTCTTCTAACTATTAGTTTTTTATCCCTTAACCATCCTCACTTTCACCCAACCCCCCAGTACTTTTCCCAGCCTCTAGTAACCATCCTTCTATTCTCCATCTCCATGAGCTCAACTGTTTTGATTTTTAGATCCCACGAATAAGTGAGAACATCTGATATTTGTCTTTCTGTGCCTACTTTATTTTGATTAACATAAAGACTTCCAATTCTATCCATGTTTTCATAAATAACAGTATCTTTTTTATGACTGAATAGTACTCCACTGTGTATATGTACGACATTTTAAAAATCCATTTATCTGTTGATGGACATTTAGGCAGCTTTCAAATCTTAGCTATTGTGAACAGTGCTGCAACAAACAAAAGAGTGCAGATACATCTTTGATATTAATGACTTCCTCTTTTTTTTTTTTTTGAGATGGAGACTCTCTGTCACCAGGCTGGAGTGTGGGGTGCCATCTCGGCTCACTGCAACCTCTAACTCCCTGGTTCAAGCGATTCTCCTGCCTCAGCCCCCCCAAACAGCTGGGATTACAGGTATGTGGCCCCACACTCAGTTAATTTTTATATTTTTAGTAGAGACAGGGTCTCACCATGTTGGACAGGCTGGTCTCGATCTCTTGACTTCATGATCTGCCCCCTTCAGCCTCCCAAAGTGCTAGGATTACAGGCGTGAGCCACCATGCCCAACCATGACTTCCTTTCTTTTGGGTATATACCTAGCAGTGGGATTACTAAATCATATGGTAGCTTTATTTTTATTTTTTTCGAGGAAACTCAAAATTGTTCTCCATAGTAGTTGTGCTAATTTACATTCTCATCAACAATGTACAATATTTTTCTTTTCTTCACATCCTCACCAACATTAATTATTGCCTGACTTTTGGATAAAAGACATTTTAACTGGGGGAAGATTATATCTCATTGTAGTTTTGATTTACATTTATTTCATAGTCAGTGATGTTGAGCACCTTTTTATATACCTGCTTCACATTTATATTTCTTTTGAGAAATATCTATTCAAATCTTTTGCCCCTTTTTATAATTAGATTATTAGATTATTTTCCTATACAGTTTTTCGTGCTCCTTATATATTCTGATTATGAATCCCTTGTCACTTGAACAGTTTGCAGATCTTTTCTCCCGTTCTCTGGGTTGTTTCTTCACTTTGTTGATTGTTTCCTTTGCTGTGCAGAAGCTTTTTAACTTGATGTGAATCCCCTTTGTCCATTTTTGCTTTGGTGGCCTGTGCTTGTAGGACATGATTTAAATTGGCTAGCCCAATGTCCTGGAGAGTTTCCCCAATGTTTTCTTGTAGTAGTTTCATAGTTTATGGTTTTAGTTTTAAGCCTTTAATCAATTTTGAGTTTTATTGTACTGTATAGTGAGAGATAGGAATCTACTTTCATTCTTCTGTATATAGATATCCAGCTTTTCTGGCATCATTTATTTAAGAGGCTGTCTTTTTCCCCCAATGCATGTTCTTGGCAACTTCATCAAAAATGAGTTCACTGTAGGTGAGATTACATTAACTGTAGGGCCCCCTCTGGATCTGCTTTGGAACAGAGATCAGCAAGCTCATTAGAGAGTTGCAGACTCCAAGGCTGTAAGATATGGATGAGTCTTCCTCTGGATTCTGGTGTGAGCAGCTCTGAGCTGGAACCCTCATTGATGGGGGCAGGAGCCAAGATATAGGGCAACTTTCAGATTCACTGCTGAGACCAACAGTGGTGGGCAAATGAGCCTTTTTGCCAAACTACTAGTGAACACAATTCTTTCTGGACCTCTTGGCAGATGGTTTTGGTTATAGGCTCAGGGCTAAACAGGGCTGTACTCAAGCCTCTTATGGGACTAGAGCTTTCTTGGCTTGAACCCAGGAGAAAGCTCAGTGAATCGGCCAAATGGGTTTCAGTTTGTACTGTCAAAATGACACTCCAATGTCTTGGGCTTCACTGGAGTTTCACAAACTCCTACTTGAATTCTGAGGCTCTCAGAGAGACATTTTTGGTATTAGATGGCTGCAGAGTTCTTGTTTTTTATAAAGGGATGTTAACAGGTTACCTTCTATTCTGCCATTTGGGTGATGTTGCATTGATGTCTTACTTTAATAAATTGCCCCTGCCACCCTAACCTTCAGCAATTACTCACCTTGATCAGCCAGTAGACATCAACATGGAGACAAACCCCTCCTTAATAATAAAGTTTTTAAATTAAGATATATACATTGGTTTTTAGACATAATGCTATTTAACACTTAATAGACTATAATATAATATAAACAGAATTTTTATATGCCCTGGAAAACCCCAAAACTTGTGTGACTTGTTTTATTGCAACATTCATGTTATTGTAATGATCTGGAGTTAAACTCACAAAATCTCTGAGGCAGGTTGTTAACATGACCCATATTCACTTTCTATCTCTTTCTTCCCATTTCTACAACAAGTTGAAATCACATCCATCCTCTTATTTACATGCCATATCTTCAGTCTTTAATGTTGTCTTTTGCTCTTCCTTGTGTTTCTGTGATTTCTTTTTGTATATCTTTGTAGTAAAAAATGTAACATAGACATGGGTTTACTTTGTGTGCCACTCTGCTTTCTTTTTAGGCTGACCGTAAGTAGTAAGTCTCCAGACTTCTTGGTTTCCACCTCTTGGCTAGTCTCTTACTACCACAACGTAGGAATCATAAAGTAGCATTTAGTCAACATTTCATGGTGTCAAAGTTCTATCTTCTGCTCTATAATACAAACCTCCACTGAGGCATGAGTATATCCTAGAGCACAAAAAGAAAATTACATTAATTGTATTTTAATATATTATTCTACCACCCTGGTGTAGAGTACATGCTCAAAAAATGCTCATGGAAGGGAGGAATTAATAGAGTTTAATTGACCTTGTGAATATGTCTTTTAGAAATTTGGTCTGATCTAACATCATACTGCTTGGGCAAAAGCTAAAGCCGTTAACCTTGAGAACTGGAACAACACAAGGAAGCCTACTCTGACCACTTCTATTCAACATAGTACTAGCCAGAGCAATCAGCCAAGAGAAAGAAATAAAAGGCATCCAGATAGGAAAAAAAGAAGTCAAATTATCTCTGCCGATGATATAATTCCATACCTAGAAAATCCTGATGACTCTTCCAAAAGGCTCCTCGAAATGACAAACTACTTCAGTAAATTAGGGTACAAAATCAATCTACAAAAATTAGTAGCATTTCTTTTTTACACAACAGGGTTCTAGCTGAGAGCCAAATCAAGAACGCAATCACATTTACAATAGCCACAAAAAAATGAAGTACGTAAGAAGGCAGCTAACCAAAAAGCTGAAAGCTCTCTACATGGAAAACTACAAAACACTGCTGAAAGAAATCAGATTACACAAACAAATGGAAAAATATCCCATACTTATGGATTGGAAGTCTCAATATTGTTCAAATGGCCAGCCTGTTCAAATTAATTTACAGATTCAATGCTATTCCTATCAAACTACCAACATCATTTTTCACAGAAATAGAAAAAACTGTTTTAAATTTTATATAGAACCAAAAAAAAAAAAGATTCTGAATAGCCAAAGTAATCCTAAGCCAACATAAACTATGGGCCAGGGATATCATATGACTTCAAACTATACTGCAAGGCTACAGTAACCAAAACAGCATAGTACTGGTATGAAAACAGTCACATAGATCAATGGAACAGAATAGAGAACAGAAAAATAAAGCCACCTACCTACAGTCATCTGATCTTTGACAAAGTCAACAGAAATAAGCAATGGGGAAAAGGGCTCCCTAGTCAATAAATGGTGCTGGGATAACTGGCTAGTCATATGCAGAAGAATGAAACTGGACCCCTGTCTTTCACCATATACAAAAGTTAACTCAGGATCAACTAATGCTTTAAATGCAGGGTCTCAAACAAAAAATCCTGGAAGAAAAATCTAGGAAATACCCTCTTCAACATTGGCTTTGGCAAATATTTTGTGACTAAGTTCCAAAAAGAAATTGCAACAAAAACAAAAATTGAGAATGGGTCCTAATTAAATTAAAGAGCTTCTGCACAGCAAAAGAAATTGTAAATGAGTAAACAGACAACTCATAGAATGGAAAAAATATTTGCAAAGTATGAATATTTGACAAAGGTATGATATCCAGAATATATAAGAAACTGCAATCAACAAGCAAAAGCCAAATAATGTTCAATTAAAAATGGGCAAAGGACATGAGCAGACACTTTTAAAAATAAGACATACAGGCTGGGCGCGGTGGCTCAAGCCTGTAATCCCAGCACTTTGGGAGGCTGAGGCAGGTGGATCACGAGGTCAAGAGATCGAGACCATCCTGGTCAACATGGTGAAACCCCGTCTCTACTAAAAATACAAAAAAATTAGCTGGGCATGGTGGTGCGTCCTGTAATCCCAGCTACTTGGGAGACTGAGGCAGGAGAATTGCCTGAACCCAGGAGGCGGAGGTTGCGGTGAGCCTAGATCACGCCATTGCACTCCAGCCTGGGTAACAAGAGCAAAACTCTGTCTCAGAAAAAAAAAAAAAAAAAAAAAGACATACAAGTGGCCAACAAACATATGAAAAAGTGCGCATTATCACTAATCATCAGAGAAATGCAAATCAAAACCACAGTGAGAGATACATCTCATACCCCTCAGAATGAGAATCATTAAAAGTTCAAAAAATAATGGATGCTGGGGAGGCTGCAGAGAAAATACACGCTGAGTGAGAATGTAAATTAGTTCAGCCACTGTGGAAAGCAATTTTGAAACTTCTCAAAGAACTTAAAGAACTATTCAAACCAGAAATCCCATTACTGACTACATACCCAAAGGAATATAAATTATTCTACCAAAAAGATACATGTTCTTGCATGTTCATCGCGGCACTATTCACAGTAGCAAAGACAGAGTAAACCTAGCTGCCCATCAACAGTGGATTGGAATCAGAAAATGTAGTGTGTGTATATATATTTATATATATCATGGAATAATATGCAGCCATAAAGAACAAAATCATGGTTTTTTTTGCAGCAACATGGACGCAGCTGGAGGCTATTATCTTAAGCAAATTACATGGAAACAGAAAACCAAAGGCTTTATGTTCGCATTTAAAAGTGGAAGTAAAAACTGAGAACACATTGCACTAAAGATGGCAACAGTAAACACTGAGGTCTACTATAGGAGAAAGAAAGGGAAGTGGGTTTGAGCTGGGATAATACCCCAGTAATACCCAAAACTACTTAATGGGTATTAGGCTCACTACCTGGGTCATGGGATCATCTATGCTCTGTACCTCAGAAAACCATGTAACTCAATACAATCATGTAAAAAACCTACACATGTACCCTTTGAATCCAAATTAAATGTTGGAAAAGAATAAATTTGGTCTGAGATTAATTTTAAATTATTTTTAGTTATGTAACTAATGTGAATATGTCCTCACTATAAGAACTTAGGAAAAGGAACAATAACTTCCTTTGGTTATCTTTTCTATCTTCGTTATCATTTCTTTTCTTGCCTTATATTAGGCAAAACTCAACTACAGTGTTGAAAAGTAGCATTGGTACATGATATCTGACATCTTTTAATGGATGCCAACTTAATGAGAATTGTCCTAAAATTTCATCAAGATGTTGAAGTAGCTTTTGATTCAATATATTCTTGATTACATTTGTGAAAGTTATAAAAGAGTGTTATATTTTATTAAATGTACTTTTTCATGTATTGATGTGATTAGTAATTTTTTTGTTTGTTTGTTTGTTTGAGGCTGGGAGATTGAGGCTGCTTGAGGAGGATTGCTTGAGGCTGGGAGATTGAGGCTGCAGTGAGTCATGGTCACACCACTGTTCTCTAGCCTGAGTGATAGAGATAAATAAATAAATCTCAAAAGGTAGATGTATTTATTTTATTTATTTATATTTTATTATACTGTAAGGTCTGGGGTACATGTGCAGATCGTGCAGGATTGTTACGTAGGTATACACATGCCATGGTGGTTTGCTGCATCCATCCTCCTGTCACCTACATTAGGTATTTCTCCTAATGTTATCCCTCTCCAATCCCCTCACCCCCTGCTATCCCTCCCCTAGGCCTCCCTCGAACCCCCCAACAATCCCCCATGTGTTCTCATTGTTCAACACTAATGAGTGAGAACATGCGGTGTTGGGTTTTCTGTTCTTGTGTTAGTTTGCTGAGAATGATGGTTTCCAGCTTTATCCTTGCTTTTTATGGCTGTGTAGTATTCCATGGTGTATATGTGCCACATTTTCTTTATCCCGTCTATCATTAATGGGCATTTGGGTTGGTCCCAAGTCTTTGCTATTATAAACAGTGCCACAATGAACATATGTGTGCATGTGTCTTTATAGTAGAATTATTTATAATTCTTTGGGTATATACCAAGTAATGGGATTGCTGGGTCCAATGGTATTTATATTTCTAGAACCTTGAGGAATCACCACACTGTCTTCCACAATAGTTGAACTAATTCACACTCCCATCAACAATGTCAAAGTGTTCTTATTTCTCCACATCCTCCCCAGCATCTGTTGTCTCCAGATTTTTTAATGATCACCGTTCCAACTGGCCTGAGATGGTATCTCAATGTGGTTTTGATTTGCATTTCTCTAATGACCAGTGATGAAGAGTGTGTGTGTTTTTTTTGTTAATTTGTTAATATAGTAACTTATAATAGATGGATTGTCTAATTTATCCCTTCTTCACTTTTCTATGTGAAGTCCTACTTTGACACAATGAATTATTCTATTATATACGTCTGAATTTAGTTAGAAGGTTCAAGAGTTAAAATTTTTCTGCTGTTGCTTAACTAGTCCCATAGTTGTGTAAGGTCAAATCTTTATAATAAATCTCTTATTATGTATGTCTCCTAGGAGGTCTGCTTTTCTGATTGTTCTTTGAGTAATACAATTATTCTCCATGTGTCTTTATATAATGTCCCATTAACAAAAGGAATGCAACCATTGTGCTCCATATCACCCACACTACAGTGACTTTGTTGGAGTCACACCCCTGGTAATTTATGGAGCTAGGACTCAAGCCCACTATTTCTGAGTCTGTGTTCTTTCAGCAGGATTATGTTGTTTTTCTTAAATTGAGGAAAATCAGAAGTGTCTCAGCTAATTAAAATGCCTTTCCTAAACATTTCCTTCTATGAAGTGCTAATGGTAATAACTATTTTATCGATGACATGGTTTCTGAGACAACCACAAAGTATTTTTATTTTTCAGATTGCCCTGATGACCTAACTGTTGTCTAGTGTCATCATAGCCATGTCAAAAAAGGCCAATATGAAAGCAAAATGAACACTTTGTTCTGCTCCCATCATAAATAAAGATGTATATTATGTCTTAGAATGAGATAAAGCAAAAATAACAGGGTCACCCTGTCTAATTCTGGTCTCTAAAATAAATGAAACCTTGGGCCTTTCCTCTAAATTACTTAATCTCTAGCAAAATAACTATAACATGGACTTTTGCAAAGTTGATTTCTAGAGGTATGTAACATCCTTCTTGGATATGATAATTATGTGAGAAAGTTGTTGTTTAACTACTACAAATAGATTGGTGCAAACTGATAATTTCACAGTTTTTTCCCCTTAAATTTATGTTGTGTTTTTTATTTCACAAGCTACTCTTTCTGAAGTCTGACTCCCCTGCCAACATTTTTGAAAGTGAGTCTCATTTCTAAATGCTTTGATCTTTGAGTCTTCATCTCACACCAATATGTTTTTGTGTTTCCTATGAGGGAAGTGCTCATGATGATAGTTGGGGAAGTAAAAATGGTAGCAGTGTTTTTCATTTACGTTGAGTCTATATATCACAAAATAATATGCAAATTTCTCTACTGACAATATATAATCCATAAGTAGATGCAGCCTTGGGAATTCATATTCTAACATAAATTTGGTAGGGGTATGAGGAGGAAAGATGGGACCAGGATGAAATCTGAAATGTCTGGTTTATTGCCTATCCCTTCATAGTGTTTAAATTGAGACCAGCCTGGGCAACATGGTGAAACTCCATCTCTGTGAAACATACAACAATTAGCCCAGTATGGTGGCACATGACTATAGTCTCAGCTTCTCAGGAAGCTGAGGTGGGAGGATAACTGGAGCCCAGGAGGTCGAGGCTGCAGTGAGCCATGATTATGCCACTGTACTCCAGCCTGGTCCTAGAAGCTCTCCCTCTCACATTTTTGCAATTCAAGACACATAGGCAATAACTCTGAGTAGTCTAGTATGGGCCATATGCCCATTCCTGGATCACTAATAGGTAGGGAATTGGGTACTAACACTGGTCACCTCTACTCTAGAAGTTAGTTTCAAGTGAGAAGAGAAAGCTTCTCCTCAGGTACCTTAATAATTTCAATTTGAAAAGAGTGGAAGGACTAGGAAAGCAGAATCCATACTTGATTATTCTGGGTAAATTATTCCAGGTCTCACACACTCTGTAAATGATGGAACCTGGGATTAGAACCAGTTCTGCCTGTCTGTTTGCAAAATCTTTGCTATTTTCTGATCTGCCTCCATTGATCTAGTTAATGCCCAGCATATGCAAGGCGTTTCAGGATTCTGGGTGAGATGTTGAGGGGATAGTAATAGAATCTTCATACTATGGTTTTTACCATCAAAAATGATGTTTTCCTCCCTCCAGCTTCTATAACAATGAAACTGCATCTACTGCATAAATATTTTCTGTTAGATTAGTCTTCCCAAAACAGGTGGAATAGTGAGTTCAGGTAGCTATCATTTACTTGTTTGCTTTTAGTGACGTTTATTGAAATATAATGTACATACAGAATAATGCACAAATTATAACTATACAGCTCAATGTAGTCTCACAAATTGGAAAACATCTATGTAGCCAGCCCAGACTTAAAAGAAACGTAGCTAGTACCTCCAGAAGCCCCTTCATGTCCTTTGCTATTATTATTCTCTCCAGGAGTAGTGATTATAAGATGCTTATTGTTTTAAATAACTTCTAATAAGGGTATCATGTCTTTTAAAATATATTCTTTAAAAATATAAAATCTCTATTGCAATGCTTCAAAAACCCCTTAACACATAACCTTTTCATGCTTTGTCTCACAAGAATCTAAAACTGTTACAGGGTAGAATCTAGCAAGAAATAAAAACCTAATGAGATGTTCAGCCACAGATGCTCTTGTGAAAGGATTTTAAAGTTGTACAGATCATGTAACTCCTGGAATGGGCTTTCACACAGACTAAGCATTTTCTGGTCTGTTTCTGAGGTCCGTAGTGGCCCACAGAAAAGCATTCACCTACGTCTTATCTGATTGGATAAAGCTTTGTCATTTTATTTTTTTGGTGTCTTCCAGTGATACCTGATTTTCTTTGTTTTGGCAAATACCTTTGCTTATGGGGTATCTGGTACTTTGTGTACAAAATAGCATCTGGATCTCTATCTTCAGTTTTTCTCTCTTCAGCAAGCCACCCAAGCAGCTTACTTTCTCATTTAGCTATCCCTGAAAATCTTGATTTTTGTTAATATATTATAAATATTTCTTTTGTCATTAGGTTGAAATCAGATAATTCTGCTTAATCCACAGTTCAGTGCAAACAGAAAAGCCAAATACTATCTGATTTTTTTTTGTATTTTATTTTGCCTTCAAGTTAGTAGTACCCTCAGATCTTATTTAATGTTTGCCTAGTATTTGATTTTAAATATTGTTTTCTGGACAATTTGATTTTTAAGTAGCTTTGTGTTTGTTTAGTTTGTGTATCACTGTTGGCTTATGCAGATTCACTAGTGAGGACTCCAAATGATGGGAACCATGAACCTTAGAAAATGTGTTCCAGATTCTTACGGCTTCAGAGATGAATATGACATTATGTTACATTCTTACTTCCAGAAAATAGAAACCTAAAGACATTAGACATGTCGTGTTGAGTTATTTTGCTTAGCTTAATTCATGTGTGGTGGGCTTTACTGTTGCTCTTATAAAACATCTTGAATGGAATTATTTAATTTTTGCTTCATTTTACCTCCAGATGTCTCCCCACTTTTATTAATGAATATTTTACCTTAACCACTGTGATGGTTAATTTTAGGTGTTAGAGAACTGATAAAGCCATTCTTTTCTGGTGTGTCTGTGAGGGCATTTCCAGTGGAGATTGACATGTGAATTTGATTATACTAAGTGAGATTTTTCTCAGTGTGTGGGGACACCATATAATTGGCTGGGGGTTAGAATAAAAACAGAAAAGGTGAATTATTCTGTTTGTTTCTCCTTGAACTGTGATACGCTATTTCTTACTTTCATTGTCTAGTAACCGATAATAATAGTAGCTACTAGCAACTTGCTCATATGAATCTAAGTTCAAGAGGCTGAGGTATACTTGTATCAACTTAGGCTCCCCATGTCTGCACTAATGTATGCAATCCCAACTCAGGTACTCATTTTGCCCTTTCCCTAGGGCAACTGTGATCACCTTTTTCTTTTCCTTAGTGCTGATTTATTTCACCAGAAATTAAATTTGGGCAGCTCCTTGGGTCTGTGACGATCTCTAAGAAAATCAGCAGTTCTTGGTTCTAAATAGTGGTGTGCTGGTAAACATTTAAATAGTCGATTCTGAAAAAAAATTTGATTTGTAGCATTTGCCAGTTTTCTTGGTATAAATGCTTTCATCTTAGCGGATTTCAAGCTACCAACTTCATTATACTGAGTATGAGGATGGGAGAAATATGCATAGTAGACTCTCCAGGCCAGTTATCACCAGATACTATCCTCTGTTCCTAGACCTTAACTATGCATCTCTCATTCTGTAAGCGATGTTCTGTTTCTCATGGAGAACTCCACTATCAAAGTTTATACATAGGAACTAAAGACAAATCATTTCTAATGGTTGCTTGACCTGAATCCCTACTGTTTCTTTCAGGGTATATCCTGCAGCATGGAGAGATAACTCACTAGTGAACCGAAAGTTCAAGTGGGTAGATTTGAGTCTATAACCCCTGAATTTGAACTTTGTATAATCTTATCTTCTCTGTAGCATATGTCAGCCTTTGAGGCTTTGAATCCATAAAAATTGTATTAGTTACCTTTTGATGCATGACAACTTACCTGAAAACTGGGCGGCTTAAAACAACATTTATTATGTCACAGTTTCCAAGGTCTGGGAGTCAGGTGTAGCTTAGCTGGGTGCCTCTGCCTTAGCATCTGCCTTTGAGCTGCAATCAGGTGTCAGCCAAGTTGCAGTCCTTAGGCTTAAGTGGAAGAAAATCCATTTTCCAACTTTCTCACATGGCTATGGGCAGACCTCTGGTCTTCCCTGGATGTTGACTGGAGACATCAATTTCTTATCATGCAGGACTCATCATAAAGCTGCTGACAAAATGGCAGATGGATTCCCATGGAGCAAGTGAACACGAGTTGGAGAGGCTTCCTAAGATAGAAGCCATTATCTTTTTGTAATCCAGCTTCAAAATTGACATCATGTTACTTTGCTGTATTCTATCCAGTAGAAAGGGGTCCCTAGGTTCAGTCCACACTCAAGGAGAGAATATTACACAAGGGTACACAAAAAAGCAGGGATCATGGGGCTGTTATTGGCCCTATGACATCTTCTAAACATGCCTCAAAGTATTTTTCTCTAATTTCTTGTAGACAGTAGACTGGATCTGTAATTCGAAAGTCTTCTTAATTGCAAATAAAAATCAAGTTCAAAATATCAGGTCTTAGATTGCTGAGAAGGGCAAAAGATTGGATCCAGTCCCAGGATATCTGCACTTACTCCCTTAGTTCTTCCAGAAAAACAAAACTAGACTAAAATCTTAAGAAATAGATCTTTAAATCTAGGTTAAGAACCAATTTCCAGGAGGTAATTTCATGAGCAAGTTTGTATATTTCCTAAATTTAGAGCATTTATATAATGCTACCTACATCTGATTTTCTGCCTAGAGCATACTGTTTATAATGGTATTTTTCCTCAACTTGTCGCTCTGGGTTTGTGATGATATTCTAAGAACCACATTTAGTACCTTGTGACTCATTGACACTATTCTTCTAGGAGATGAGTTGGCTAGGAATTGAGTTGGCATGGAGGGTGCAACACTACTGGGCTTGGATTTTTGTTGCTTTTTTTCTTTTTATATAGCACAGACAAGCTCTGTACCTAGGTTCATATAACCTGTACGGTAGCTACCTATATATAACCAATATAATTCTAGACATCTGATGATTCATGTTGCATTCAAAAATACCTGTCCACTACTATGTACTTTAAAGAATAGTGTCAATATTATGGTGGATTCAAGGGGCAGTATAGCATTTTTATACAATACAGAAAGCATTCTATAAATATATAACACAAATTAAAAAAATACTCCTTAAATGATTCTCTGTCATTGTGTGTGTGTGTGTGTGAGAGAGAGAGAGAATGTGTGTGTGTGTGTTTTGCCTGCTTCTGGCAACAGCTGAAAACCTTATCCTTTTATTTTCATTCTTATTGTCCTGTCAGCACCTCCCGGGATCCTACTGACTTCCTCTTCCCCAATTGCATACCACATGCAACACAGTCTCCTAGAATAGCTGTGAGTGAGCTTTGAAAAGATGATCTGGTTTCCTGCTTTGCTGGCCTTTCTTGAGATAATCAGGCATCTACTTGACCTTGGAATAGTAATTAATAAAATTCTCTATCACTCTTCAAAGGGTGGTTATCAAGAAACTGAAGTTTGAATTTGGGTTTCTTTCTCTTTTGGTTCCTTCCTCCCAAACTCAAATAAGAAGGAAGTGGCCAGTGGTAGGAGTCACAAAAGGGCTTTGGAGATGTGATATTTATTTTGAGAACCAGCCTTAAATTCTTCATGTTAGAAGCTCTAAGTTGTTCTCCCCACTTCCCACCTCCATCCATTGAATCATTGAATTTTAAAAAATCAACAATTTTGAATGTTCAAATAACATAAAGTTATATTTAATATCATTTTTTTCTTACTACCTATGTGATAGGATTTGATCGTGTCCCCAGCGAAAATCTCCTCTTGAATTATAACCCCCATATTCCTCACATGTTGTGAGAGGGACCTGGTGGGAGGTAATTGAATCATGGGTCTAGGTTTCCCCCATGCCATTGCCATAATATCAAGTGAGTTCTCATGATATCTGACTGTTTTATTATTTCCTGCTGGCACCCCTTCTCTCTCCTGCTGCCATGTGAAGAAGGACATGTTTGCTTCCTCTTCCGCCGTGATTGCAAGTTTCCTGAGGCCTTCCAAGTCATGTAGAGCTCTGAGTCAACTAAACCTCTTTCTTTTGTAAATTACCCAGTCTTGGACAGTTATTTATAGTAGCATGAGAACAGAGTAATACACTATGATTTTATATTTGTGTTGCTTTTGAGTAAAGAAGCTTAATAGATGTTTTGGGCAAAATTTTGTCTGTAAAGCCAGTCACAGTGGAATTTGCTGAAAAAAGAAAGGCATTAAGAATGGATCCTTTAAAATGTTTTCTTTTATTTTATAAAAACAGTGAAAAGAAGAGAAAACAATACAGAAGCTCTAAGGATTGTTTTTTCTTCTTGCCTGGGTCTTAATACTTACAGAGACTTAGAGACTTGTTAGTAACCAAGTGTACTGCCCCTTAAATTTAAAAGCTGTGATTTGTATCCTGTATTTAGGGATGGTGCACATTTATTTTTGATTTATTATGTTTAGCTTTCTCTCTTGTTTTTCCTGCCTACATAGCAGCAGGTGTTTGGGTGATAACAACACTTAAAATAATTCTAGGAAAATGTGCAAATTGGCTGTAGTGTAGTAGGAGCTATCATAATCTCCCTGTCCCCATAATTTACTTACACTAATTAGATTGTAGCACCAATGCTATTAAGTGCTTGGGACATGGAAATTTTTGGTACACAATTGTGTGGGTGTTTTAACTGCAATGAGACCTATATAGAAAAGTTTTGAAGTTTGGGAGGGCTCTTGCTGTATTCTAGAAGTGAAGTGCCCACTACCAAAATGACCTGAGTGTAATAAGAATTAAGAGAGAAGAGCTTTTAATTCACAAATTTCAACTATAAAATACTATACCTAATCATATCAGTAAGGAATGCATTCAGCCATAAATGGATAAAAGTTCAGTGACACCGTGATGTCATCAAGAGTCAGATTTCTTCCATCTTCCTGCCCTGCCATCCTTAGTGTGTGGATCTCTGGATGGTTCTGTACCTCCAAGCATCAGGTTCATATCCTAGCCTGAAAGAAAAATAGAAGCAGGAAAGAGGAGAGGGCAGCAATTATTATAGGAGTGTGGAAAAACTCATGTAGAAATTTCTACCAGATTCCCAATTATGTTTCCTTTGTCAGAGCTGGGTCACAGGATCATCTACAGCTACAGGAATGGCTGGGAAAATGAAGATTTTAATTGGACAAATTGGTACTTCACCAAAATAAAGGTTTTGGTTAATAAAAGAGAAGGGGAGATTTGACATTTAGTAGGTAGAGAGCCATGCAGAATCTTTTTTCTAAGAATAATATATCCCCCATCTGTGTATGTATATGTGTATATGCAAAAATGTATGTTGGTGTGTGTATTTCTACTGAGCATGTTTGAGACTGTGGTCTTCGGCATCTTACAGAACTGAGTTTCTATTCTTTCCTACTGTTTATTAGATGTAAGACTTCAGGGAAGTCGTTTCACTAAGTTTCATATCTCTAAGATCACAAAAATATTTCATGAATTAAATACAATTGTAATCATCAAGTAAGAAACATGACTGGTACATAATAAGCTTCCAGTAACAGGTATTTCTTTTATTATAAATATTGCTCTTACTGCCATTATTATTAACCTCCAGTTTTTCTGAACTGACAGGAATTTGAGAAGCTATGTAGGAGCCTTGATAGGGACTGCACACCAGTCTGTGAAGGACAGTCAGGGGTGTGGTTCAGTTGCCAGGAACATGAAGGTGTGACAAATTCCTATCCAAGAGAGATGGAGAAGGGAACACACATTCCTCCTCCCTGTTGGCATTTGTAAGGTATGCCTACTGCAATTGATGGCAGATAAAGAGAGGACACCCATGTGCAGTTTGTGGTAAGGCAGATTGTGTAGTTCAAGGGGTAGTTCTTTCACTACAAATAAAACATTCCACCGAATCTGCTAATGCATCACTAGTCTAGTCTACAGCTCATTCTGCAGCCCCACTTTTGCACAACCTGGAGCCATTTTTGTACACTTGTAGAGTAGTTGTACTAACTCCTCAAAGGAGGGGCATTAGCATGTCTACCTGCTGCTCACCATGTTCAAAGCCTACTTCTATGAGAGCTTACACTGCAGATCTCTGGCTGGAGTCATTACCCAAAATATCACACAAGTGACCCTCTGTCACATCATAAGCTCTTGCTACTCAGCGTCTACTGACCATGTTACCTCTCACTCATAGAGCTTTTGCTTGCTGATATACTATCTCACTATCATTTAGAAGACCTATGCATTATTCTTGACTTCAGTTTTGCTGCCTACATTACCTATACCTGTCCACGCACCTGCCCTATAGTAGAATCATATCTCAGGCTGACACCCTGAACAAATGTTCTCCTTGTGAAGGACAGTCAGGGGTGTGGTCATGAATGCCAATAAATTCCATAATTGAAGCTATAGAGCCCAAGCTCTCACCAAGTCCTCATATTCTGAAATTACATTTAAGTTCCCCAAATTCCACAGATACGAACAGACAAACATATTAACTGGAAGAATGATGGAATAAATGTGTTGAATTGTGCCAGCCTCATCTCAGTCATCATTCAAGAAATCTACCAAACTTCCTGACAAACCTGATGGAACAAATGACTTCATGAAGTTAGATGAGGAGTTGTGACTAAAGCCTTTTCTATGTAGTCCAACGACCCTGAATTAAAGAAATTTCTTCCAAATGGAGATGAGCTTAGTCATGAATTACTATTACTTTTGGCCTACAGTGACTTCACTGTTTCCTGGTGGGTAATGGGTAAATGAAATTAAGCACAACTATCCTCCATATTGATAATATGCTCATGTACATGATAAATGCAACCTCATAGAGAGTATTTTGAGTATTTCTGTAGCAAGCGTGATAGAACCACCAATGTATCAACCTTGAGAAATTACTTTGCATGCCAAGAAATGAAATACCTAGGCCGTGTTCAGTCTATTCAACTTGTCTGCACAATGCCAAGAAGGCATTGGAAGTTCTTGAGTGTTAACTATTTCATACACATGATGGTTCAACTTACGATTTTTTTGACTTCATGATGGTGTGAAAGTGATATATATTTATCAGAAACTGTATTTCAAGCACCCCTACAATCATCCTGGTTATTTTTACTTTCAGTATAATATTCAATAAAATACACAAGATAACTCAACACTTTGTTATAAAACAAGATTTGTGCTGGATGATTTTGCCCAACTATAAGAAATGTAAGTGTTCTGAGCATGTTTAAGGTAGGCAAGGCTAGGTTACAATGCTTGATAGATTAGGTATATTAAATGCATTTTCAACTTACAGTATTTTCAATTTCTAATGAGTTTATCACGAATTACCATGAATTTATCACAATTTAACAACATTGTAAGTTGAGAAGGATCTGTATTTGATGGGTTCCTAAAACAACCAGTGAGGTGTATTTGTTTCCCAGGTTGTATTATTTGAGAATGAGTCAGGCAGTCTTGCCCAGGAAGGTCTCTTAGTGAGCTTCAAGGTGCCCATGAATACCAGTGCCTAAGATTCAGAGCCATAAGGAGATGGTCTTAGGAGACCTGTATGTGGACAGGCTTCTTCCTTCATTGCTGTAGCTCTGTTGCTGCCACCCCAATGGGCATATCTATCAATTTAACATTAATATAATCCACAGAAAGTTTTGATGGTTCACAACCAACACGATAGCTCTAGAATTTCAAACCTTGTGACTCTTAACCATACATTACAGACAAACTCAGCAGGCCAGAGGGTGCTCTGAACTCATGCTAGACTCCTTAATCTCATAGAAATAGTATCACAGTAAGTTTATAGCCATGACATCATCCCGGAGACAGTGGACACTGACCAAGATTCTGTACACCATTTTCTGCTTTGCATTTCTCATTTGTATGAGCCACTTCCATCTGTTTATCTAAGGCATTTATCTCATTTTAATAATATAATTCTGACGGATAGTACTTGGATCTCCGGAAGGCACGTGAGGAAGTTTTGTCTCAGGTTGAGTTCCGTGATCATATTTGTTTTCATGATCGCCCCCACAATCTCCTTTATATTGGTTAGCATAGCCAGGATTCTCTGAATCCTGAGTTTGTTTTCATCTTTCTTTCTTTCTTATTTTGCTTCTGAATCTTTACCCTTCTTTCATTTCTTATATTATCCCTGACAAATGAAATTATCTCCAAGATACATGATGAATATGAAATATTGGGTTCATGGAGCAGCTTGAGAAAAAATAATAAATGAAACTTCTACTCAATGACATGACAATCAATTTGGCAAATGCAGAAACTAATTCTGAAAGATAACTGCATTATAACCTTTTAGACATTATGTACAGTCATGCTGTGATTGCTCAGCCCTCATTCTTGCTACCATTTTATCATTCTTTTTTTTTTAAATTTTTTATTGGATTTTAGGTTTTGGGGTACATGAGCAGAGCATGCAAGACAGTTGCGTAGGAACACACATGGCAGTGTGCTTTTCTTTCCTTCTCCCCTTCACCCACATTTGGCATTTCTCCCCAGGCTATCCCTCCCCACCTCCCCCTCCCACTGGCCCTCCCCTTTTCCCCCCTATAGAAACAGTCACTAGAGTGGATCGGCAACCAACAGAATGGGAAAAAATTTTTACAGTTTACCCATCTGACAAAGGGCTGATATCCAGAATTTACAAAGAACTCAAACGGATTTACAGGAAAAAAACAAACAAGCCCATTCAAAAGTGGGCAAAGGATATGAACAGACACTTTACGAAAGAAGACATATATGAGGCCAACAATCATATGAAAAAATGCTCATCGTCACTGGTCATCAGAGAGATGCAAATCAAAACCACATTGAGATACCATCTCACACCAGTTAGAATGGCGATCATTAAAAAATCTGGAGACAACAGATGCTGGAGAGGATGTGGAGAAAAAGGAACACTTTTACACTGTTGGTGGGAGTGTAAATTAGTTCAACCATTGTGGAAGACAGTGTGGCGATTCCTCAAGGCCTTAGAAATAGAAATTCCATTTGACCCAGCAATCCCATTACTGGGTTTACCATTCTTTATACTCATCCCTTTTGTTTTCCTACCTGCTTTGAGCAATGACAGTCATATTAAAGGTAAAGAATAAAGAAAAGAAAATAAATGCTAAACATATGACTATCTGTCTGAATGTCAGTGACCATTTACAACCACTGGAGACACAGCCACCCTGGCTGTCTTTGAAATTTCAGACTGAATGTGGCCTCTTGCCAATGGAATTGGTGCTGCCAATCTTTCTGCACAGTACAGGAGGAGCCTTGGAACTAAGTCTCTGATGTTTTCTAACACCTAATTATCTGTTAGGTCCGGTCCCATAGCTGTGGAAACCACGTAAATGGCATAATACATTTCACTTAACCATGCAGAGGTGAGAGTTCCTATGATATCAGACCAGTGAGAAGTATTTTAAAATTGAGTTAAATTTAATAGTAGAATACAAATTTGATGTCAGAATATTCCATATAGTGTAGTTAGTATAAACCCAGTATAAATGTTTATATAAATTTGGCTTAAACCATAACTAATATTTGTATAAGTATCAGCTCAATTTATTTAATCAGGGGTGTTTTAACAATAATGGGCCTAGAAATTAATGTGGACACAGAGAATAATGATAATTGATTAAGCTGAAAATAACATGCTTTAGAAAACTGATCTTATGTCCGTTTATTCACTTACTACTCTACAAGTAGTAGTACTCTGCTTCTGCAACCACTGAAGTTTCAATCTTATTAAATATGAGTCTAATGTAATGAAACTTTGGAATGCAGGGAGAGAATAAAGAATCCATGCCGAATAAAAGTAAAACAGAAAATTGATAACTTTAAGGGTTTCTATTATTATTACCTTTAACTGTCACCAAAGCTATGGGTTAATATAGACTTTTACTTAATTTGGGTTGACTATCACCACTAATTGAATGAATGTGTGTGTGTCTGTGTCTGCATGAATGAATGCAGGGCATTTTAAAATGTTGGCTCA